ATTACCGCGACTCCATTCTACTCCTTGTGTACCTTCATATTCACTGTCACTATATTCGAAACTAAGTGAACCATGTTTACTAGTTACATCTAATTCAATACTTGGTTCTCTCTATAAAATTTCAATAAAAGTGACTTATGTCATCAATATACTAAATAAATATATATGCTTTTGTTTTAAATTATTAAAAAAATACCTTTGCAGTATAATTCTGACTTCTTGATCTTCTAAAAAATCCGAAACTAAAAATACCCGATTTTAAAGAATTTATTAAAGATGATTTTCCTGATGCACAATGTCCTAAAAGTCTTATATGTAAACGATCTATTGGTCTATGTGTTGGCTGTAGCTGTTTAATGTAATTTTCACGTTGAATGGGCTAAAATATAATATTAATGTAAAACATTGTCAAATATTAAAAGATGATTTAATAACATACATTTCGAAGTTTATCCAATAATGATGCAATATCAGGATGTCCATATTTGATTGCTGTCACATCTGCTCTAATTCCACGATTTGTTTTATCAACGTCACAACCAGCAAGGCACAAATGTCTAACAAGATTAATGAAACCATATCTAGCAGCCACATGTAATGGTGTTAAGCCTTTTTTATTTGGTGTATCCAAGTCTATTCCATTTTCTATTAAAAAAGTAACCATTCCTTCATCTCCTGCTTCACAAGCTATATGTAAAAGCGTATCTTCCTTCTATGTGAAGAAACAAAATTATTTATACTTTATTTATAAATATATACTNTATAGTTTATATAGTTCAAAAATATATGTGAAAAAATCTTACAGAATCTTTCACATTTAATGGTGCTCCTTGCAATAATAATTGAGACACAGCCTCAACACAGCCTCGTTTAACAGCACTAATCATTGCTCCACCAAGACCTTGAGAGGCTTCCGACTCCTACAGAAAAACAAAAAAATTATTCAGTATTGTTATTTTACATACATATTATGTTTCATAATCAATTATATTACAATATACAATTACAAAATCATATATTTTTATGTACAAATGATGATAAAAATTTTTTATAAAAAATGAATTACTATAGATAACATTTCTAATTCTTCTAATATAGAATTATGTAAAAAATAATAGATATTGTTTTTAAAATATATAAGGTACACATATATTGAATAAAAAAATGTATTATATTTAACTTAATAATGTATATTCTGTGAAAAATAATGTGTATGTATGATGTATAATTGGTATGTAACTGTACAGATGATACTGACATTAGTCACACAATGTACATAAATAAACGTTATTTCATAAAAAATCAAAAAAATAATGTGAGTGATTGAAAATTATAGTCAGCTCTGGCAATTACAAAGGAAATTATAATATTGCATTCAGGAACAGACCGTGAGGATCCAAGGATGTTTAAGGCACGATTCTGCAGTTCCTCTTTCTCTGAAAATCAAATTTTTTATTGCTATTTTATCTTAAATCAATTTTATCATATTATATATATATATATATCATTTATCATATATATATATCTCGCAATTAAAATTTTTAATATTGTTTTTAAATTTCTTAATACTTACTTTGGATCCTTGATCAACAAGGATCGTATGAAATCTTTGGCAATTTCAGATACTGTACTGAAATATTCATTATCAAACTGATATTGACAAGCAGCAACATTCGCATAAGTTTCTTGTTTATCTTCGCCTAGAAATGGTGATGCACCACTTAAAAGAATATATGTCAGAACACCTACTGCCCAAAGATCAGTTCCCAAACTGAGTGGTTCATAATTTACAATTTCAGGAGCAACAAACTCAGGTGTACCAAATAATGCTCTATGTTCAGATCCAGGTACTAATCGATGTGAGAGTCCTAGATCTATATTAAAAATCAAAATATATAAATATTTATTAATATTATAAAATAAATATTATAAATATTATATATATTTGTATCTAATATATATATATTTGTATCTAATATAGTATATAATACAGTATATATATGCATTTATATATTATATTAATAAAAGAATTATTATTATTCATTAATTTACCTATTAATTTTATACTTGGCATTGGTGGTGGAGTTGATAAAAGGATATTTTCAGGTTTAATATCTAAATGAGCAACTTGATGAGAATGTAAATGACTAAGTGCCATTAAAACTTGACGAACCTACAAAAACTTTAATTTTTTAGTATTTATTTCATATTAATTGTATCTAGTAACAATTACGAACCACATGTGCAGCTTCTAATTCACCAGATGGTACCCAATGAAAAAGTTCTCCTCCTGAAATTAATTCTAAAAGTAAAACAACTGTTGTGCCTGTATCAACAACTTTGTGCAATGAAACAATATTTGGATGTCTTAGTCGTGCTAATAAACCTGCTTCTCGAGCTACAACAAAAATTGAATAATTATTTTTTTTAAAAACATATTATAAATATATATGAATATTCAAATATACCAATATCTGCAGCTGCCACACCTCTGGCAACTCGTCTTTTTCTCATAATTTTGGCAGCATAAAACTCTCCAGTCTTTATTTCCATACATTTTCGTACTATTGCAAATTGTCCTCTGTAAATTATAATTATGTATATGCTTTTAAATTAAAATATTTATTATGAATATAAACTAAATATTATATATTGACTTACTTGCCAATTTCTTCCAACAGTTTATAGTTTTTTTCAATTGGTTCATGGTGAACCTCCATTAAAGTGTCCCACTCAGGGCCTATTTAATATAAATTTTTATATGAAAAAAAGATTTTACTTATGTCATTTTATAAATATGAAAAATATGAAATTATTAATTTTTTTAATAAATAGAAAATTTAAAATAAATTTGAATATTAAAATAAAATTATTAATTAAAATAGAAAATAAATTTATATGAATATAATATTCTTTTAAATATCCATATTTAAATATAACAAAAATACGAATGTTTAATATATAACAAAATAAACACTTTATTTCTATATGAACAAATTATTTTAAGAAACATTATTTGTAAATATTTTTTAATGCAAATAGAAAAAACACAATAAAAATAATGTTCTTTAATCTTTTAAAATCAATACATGATACTATACAATGATAATTATTTATTAATAGTCGTTGTTCAAAACTAACAGAACATAGACACCTGTCAATCCTGTAGTAAACAGATATGAAAATCACTTCCGTACACACGTAGCCACGTGGATATATTTTCATTAAGATCAGAATGATTGTGTATTAAAAACGTTGTTGATACGCTTTGCATCTCTTGATTATATTGAATTGTAAAGAAATATTAAACATCTGCCAGCCTTGACAGAAACATCGACACTATATTACGTAGAAAGATTAAAAACAATTGAAAGGAAGTCGGTTTTTACCACCGTTCGAAGTTCCCAATTGGCGAGACGTGCCTGGCATCATCTCACACTCATGCTCATCGTTCAGTCTATTCGAACAGTTTTAAGTTTCGCAAAGAGCCGTTACGAAAATTGTGTCCTATTCGTCGGCCTTCACTCATGCCGGCCACCCTACACACACAATCGATATACCTGTGTCGCGTGAAACGCCACCTTCTTCAAAATGCATTGCAATCTCATAAAACCTTTCCTAATTTCTAAATTATTTTATATAATTCATTTTTTAAATCAATAATACCATTAGATTCATTTTTAATCATTTGATCATTATTATTAATCAATTACTATCACTTAAAAATCATAAACTAATATTGTATTATAACTGAAATGTTGCTTTAAAAAGTAAGATAATAAATAAAATAAAATGTTATTAGAAATTATTTAATTTAAGTTTTACAATTTATGAAAAAAGTTAATTTATAATTATTTGAAACCAAATATAAATACTGAATCATTTATTTTATTTAATAAATAAATTATTTTTTAATTAAAAATTTTTTTCAAAAAAAATCTTAATGAATATTTTATTTAATATTTGAAATAATAAAATATTTAAGTTATATAAGATATATTTACATATATACTTAAAAAATTAGTATTTCAAAATATTGCTTAATTTAATTAATTAATGTAATAAAATATAATGCAATCTAAGTTATAAATATATAAAAGTTCAGAAGATAATACTTTGATTAAAAACAATTTATTAATGATTATTAATACATGTGCATATTATTAATTTATTAATATATTTGATAATAATATTGCAATTATACAAAAATAATTCTTAAATATATAATTAATGATATAAAATAATTATTTTAAAATAATTATTAATGATATAAGTAGAATAGTTAGTTTTTTAGAGAATAAGGAAAGGTATATAGAAAAGCAAATTAATGAAAATATAAATAAATAAATATAGTATTTATATCTGTCTTTAATACTTCATCAAGTATTTTTATTATTATGAAAATGCATACAGATAGACAAATGATATTTTCTATAAATATGAAGTTTAATGAAATTATCATATGTAATTATTAAATGTTAACAAATAAAAGCTTTCCAAGCAATATAAATTTAATCTTTCATAGATTCTTCTGAAACTTGTGCAGGTGGAGTAGGCTCATTATCTGCCTTCTTCTTTTTACTTCCTGATACAATATCATCAATTCGTAGCAATAAAATAGCAGTTTCAATAGCTGTTTTATATGTTTGCAATTTAACGGATAAGGGTTCCCAAATACCATGTTCTTTCATATCTACTAATTGACCAGTTTCTCCATCAATACCCCATGTCATTCCTTCAGTAGCATGTTTTGCACGTAATGCAGTTAAAGTTCTGATAGTATTTGCTCCACAATTTTGTGCAAGAGTTCTTGGAATTATTTCTAATGCTTGTGCTACAGCTTTATAAGGCCATTGTTCTACACCTGCAAGTCTTGCTGCTTTTTCTGTTAAAAGTCTTGATACTGCCATTTCTACAGCTCCTCCACCTTTAATAATATATAAATATAAATACAATATACATAACATATTTTATATAGCTATATATTTTTATATAGCTATATATTATTCTAATGGCAAATTATTAATTACCTGGTACTAATTTAGGTTCAATAAGAAGATTCCTTGCAACATGAAGTGCATCCTGTAAGTTTCTTTCAGTTTCATTTAATACATCTTTACTGGCACCTCTCAAAATTATAGTACATGCTTTAGGATCTTTACATTCTGTAATAAAGCAAAAGTATTCATCACCAACTTTCTTGATTTCAAAAAGACCAGCTCTAGTACCAACATCTTCATCTCGCAATTCTTCTGTACGATTAACAACAGTTGCACCACAAGCTCTAGCAATTCTATTAATATCACTTTTTCTCAATCTACGAATAGCAGAAATTCCAGCTTTAACAAGATAATGTTGTGCTAAATCCGAAACTCCTTTCTCTGTGATTACTACATCAGGTTTTACAGATATGATATCTTCACACATTTTCTTAACAAATTCCTCTTCTAATTCCAAAATCCTGGTAAAATCTGTATCTTTCATTATTTCTATATTGGTTTGAGATTCTCCTTTTTTATATTCCAAGGAACAATCCAATAAAACTATTCTTGGATTTTTAATATGTCTTCTCATTTTTGGATGAGTAACATCTTTATTAAACATCACTCCCTTAAGAACGGTGCTATCTTCAATAGTACCACCTGGAATTTTTTCTACTTTTGCATAACGCTTTATATCTATTTCTCTTCTGCCATTTTCTTCAAGCAAAACAGTATAAACTGCATCTAAAGCTATCTGACATGCTAATTCACACCAACGTCCAATAAATTTAGTTCTGACACAGGAATTAATAACTTGAATCATTTTATTTTTATCATTGCAATCTAGATCAATGCTCACTTGTTCATTAAGAATAGTAACTATATCTTCCAAAGCTTGGCGATATGCTCTTATTATAACAGTAGGATGCATATTTTGTTCCAAAAAAGGTTCAGCAGTAGCTAGAATTTCTCCTGCCAATACAATGACTGAAGTAGTACCATCTCCAACTTCTTCATCTTGGGTTCTAGCTATTTCTATCATAGATTTCCCAGCAGGATGTTGTACTGTTATTTCACGTAATATAGCATTCCCATCATTAGTCATAACTATACCTCCCATTGGATCCATTAACATTTTTAACATTGCTTGTGGTCCCAGACATGTTCTAATGACATCTGCAATTGCCTTTATAACAAAAATATAATATTAAAAAATTCATTTTCAAATTCAAATTCAGTCAAGCATTTATTATTCTATATGTATTTATTTTAAAAAATTTAAATATAATATAAAATTAAATTTATTTCAAAATTAAAAAATTGAAAATTAAAACATATATTTGGTACATAAATTATAGATATTATTTAAATATAATATAATTATAAGTACTATGCTTATTAATACAGAATGTATTAAATAATAAAAATACATGTGAGCGTGCAAATATTTAATGAAAGCTTTAAAAAATAAATATAAAAATATGCATAAAACTTACTTTTCCAGCTTGTATATTTTCTCTCTGAACTTTTCGGCCAACATCCCGTTTTGTATTTTGACCTGCAATAATCAAAGCACACGACATCATGAATTTTCTCACTTCACTACTCAAATAAATGAAAATCAAAATTGTCATTGTTTCTACATACTTAAAACTACGATCGGAGCAGCTCCTGGACCAAACATTTTTCTTCAATTTTTTTAGTACTTTTATTGAATATTGTGTTAGAAAACGATATTTAATACACGTCCGACTTTTCCAGAACAAAATGAAAGACGAGACCTTGTAACAATTGGTTAGAAATGAGAATCACGGTTGAAGAATAATTCTAGATAATACGAATACACTTTAATAAAATGTATCAATACCAACAAAAATACAAAATGTCCCTATAATTATCTTTATTATTTATTTTATTAAAAAATTCTTTTAAAATGTATAACAATAATATAAATTAAAATATTTTTTTAATTTCATTTTTATTTAAACTTTATTTTGAAATATTAAAAATTGTTAATTTTTTTTTTATCTTTTAATAGTTTTTGAGGATTAGAATCTAAAAATATCAATTTCAAATTTAACAATCTATTAATTCCAAATAATTTTTTAATTTATAAAATTAAAAAAAAAATAAAAGTTATTCGTATATAAAATTAGTGATTTAAAATATATTTAATAAATTATTAAAATGTTATATTGATTTAATCTATAATTTATCCAATGAACGAAATTATTGTCTAAATGAAATCATTTAAGCGGGAAATCAAATTTGATTGCACACATATTTTGTTTTTCTGATTTATCTACTCAATATATATAATGATTGTTACAATGATTGTTTGTTATAAATCGATTCGATATTGAAATAAAAGTAATTTTTAAAATATTAATCATTGCTAATATTACCGGAAAAAAAAGATATTTTAATTAATCTTATTATTATATTATATTCTAATATCCCATATTTATAATATATATCCTAATATATTTCAGAAATATTAAAAAATACATGTGTGTGTGTGTGTGTGTGTATATATAAATAAGTATTTATATAAATGACAAATTTATTAAAACATATTATAGAACTAAAAAGATAAAATCAATATTTAAGTTTTATATAAAATTGCTATTTTAATTATTTTAAGTATAAATAAAATTTAATAAATAATAAATTTTTTAAATTTCTGAATATTTTTATGACAAAAACAGTTGTGGCTTTATTTAATTTTTAATATTATTTTATTATATCAAATTAATTAAATAAATAATTTGTAAATACATAAAAATATTTGTACAATAAATATTCTATCGAAAAAAACAAATTAAATTTATTTATATCCATAATTAATAAAAATATAATATCATTAAAATTATATTTATATAATTATTAAATAATATATTTATATAATATATAATATAATAGCGTCCGTATATTTTTGAGAATCATTGTACATTTTATTACGTTTATAAGATAATTTATTCTGTATTATATTTGGAATTTTATATCGAAATCACAAACTAGATAAGAATTTATATCTAATGATCTATATCAAAGTAATTTTTTAATTCTAATTTCTAGTTGTAATTTTACTTTGCATTGAATCAATAAAATTTGAAAAAAACTAAAATAAGAAAGAGAATTCTGAAATTACTAAATCGAGAAACAAAAATACATTATTAAATTTATTCTATATCTCATCTCTAATGTTAAATCTAACTTATAAGTAAATCTTACCTTATGTATACTTTATGTATAATCATTGTCCAATGATATCATTTTGCCATTCATTGAATGTTAGTATTCGCTGTTAATCGGTTGTGATTGTAACATTGCACAGAAATCGCTGAAAGCCAATCTATAGTACCAATTACCATCGCTAGATAGCTCTAAATATCGTATCTTCGTTAGCTTATGCTATGTTATCTATGCTAGCAGGTATAATAATATGTTACATGAAATCGCAAAACGATTTTTGCCCGGTTTCTTTCGTAAAGCATCTATTTCTAGTTTAATTTATCTTGGTTTTCGATCTTTCCAAAATGCAATGTCAATAATTGATCATTCTTGTGTATTTCGATTTTTTTGTATCAATGTAACAAAGACTTGATTTTTTAATTTTCAATTTTTCCGGATTTTTAACAATTTTATCATTGAACTAAATCAAGTAATTACTATTATTTATTATCGAAATATGATTATACATTTTCTTCAGTCTAGCAATACTATCTATAGTTAATTATTAGTAGCAGTAACTACTAATTTAAATTTTAATTAAAATAATTTTAATTAAACTATATTATATTGCATAAAATAATTTAAATAATAAATAATCAGTTAGTATGTAGAATTAGTTTTAAAAAAATAAAGATTTTCAAAATTATTTTAAATTTTAATCACGATTCCATCACTTATATATAACTGAATTCTGAATGATTAAACTCGGCAGCATTTCTTACTATCAAATAAACTTGCTCTTGTGTTATCATTACAACTTATGTATTATCGTTAATGAAAAACTAATAATAAATTCATTTTCAATAATATTAGATGACAAATTTTTTGAAAAAATAATGCTACTAATAATTCAAAAGATAAAAAAAAATAACAGTTCATCTAAATGTTTTGGGAAATTTTTTAATAATTTTAATAATTAATTAATTTTTTTAATCAAAGAAAAAGTATAGCTATTCGGTATATGTATATATTGTTTAAATTTCAATCCAGAATAAATCGAAAGTAGAATATAAAAAGATGAAGAAAGTATAGAAGAAAGAAAAAGAAAAAAAAATCAAAATAAATAGAACACGAGCAATAACAAGCGTAACTTGTAGCATAACAGATTATATATAATGATTACGAATATCATGGAAATAAAAATTTATGATATGATGTAAATATATAAAAAAAATAAATTTTCAGAAAATTAAAAGAAAAATAATTTTCAATTAATTTGAAAATGATTCTTGTATCATAGAATTGAAAAAACAAATAGCAGACATCGAAAGCATCTTAGAAATGTTAATCAATGCAAATATATTCAAATAATTAAAAGAAAAGTCTATATCACAGTCAAATTTGAATTAGAAGAAACAAAAACTAAAAAAAATAAGATGAAGATTTATTTATTAGTACAAAACAAATGCAGAGATGAAGAAATTATATTAATAAAAAGAATTAAAGCAAATAATGCAATAATGCATAAAGCAAAATATATGCAATTTATTTTATTTCAATACAAAATGATATAATTCGTTAGAAGATACAGAATTAAAAAAAAGAAAATAATTAAGGATATAAGTTTTGATATTAAAAATATAATAGAATTTTTTCATTTGTCTTATAAAATCAAAGACTTCATAAATCAAAGATTTATAGATGTCCCGTTAGCTCTAATGATCATAATTATTTTTATTATTTTTTTTTTAATATTCATTTTCATACAAGTCATTAAATATATTATATATAATATATTATAAATAATTATAATTTGATTGATGATAGAGATATTCAATTTTCGTTAACCATTTCTTATCAATAAAATCAATCTTGTCAATTCGTAATTTATAGAATCAATCAATTTTTGTAGCTCATCTTTTCTATCCGAGACAATCCCATAAAAATTCAAAGAATGCAGAATTTCAATTCAAAATAACATATACAAAATAAATCAGAACCTATAACTAATGTACATAACATAATTGTGGAATATAATGAATTTACTTCACAAGCGTAAAAAGATCTTTCGATTTAGAATTAGAAATAAAAAAACTAATCAGCAAAAGTCTGAAAATCTTATGATTATTGCGAGCATTAATAACAAGAAATTCAGAAAATGGAAGTCGATTCTTAATGAATTGATGATTATGCAAGTGAAAGCATTAATATATTCATGGAACAACTTAATTCTAGAAGCCAAAAAAAAACTCCAAAAATTGGTATACAAAAATATCGATTGAAACTTATTTATTAAGTTATAATTTAAATTCATGTTAGGTAAAATGAGACAGAAATAAAATACAATAAAGTTTTGCAGCTTCCTTTGATGTCTTTAATGAAAAAATCTGCTCTCTATAGTATAATATGATTAGATTTTCTCTATATTAAATCTTTAGTATAATCTTTTGAAATAAATTGAAGAAAATAATTAAATTAAATCAAACCATCAAATTTAAATAAAAAAAGCATATTCACAGCATAATATAGATAGAAAAGCATAATACAGATAGAAAAAAAGAAAGGATCAAATCTATAATGAACTTATTATGATTTATATAATGTTCTAATTAGTTTAATAACGGAAATATAAATACTATTAATGGCTTTTTAATTTTTTTTTTGATTTCTCTGAATTATTTTATGCAATAGGGAATAAAATTCTCGGAACCAGACAAAGATTATAAAAGATCGAAGATTATATAAATAATATTTATATTATTATTAAAAATTTATAAAATGATCTGCTATTAAAATTAATTTACTATTAATAGATATAGTCTACGAAATATATAAAACAAAATATATTCAAGAATAAATCGAATGTTATTTTATTAAAAAAATTTGATATAATTTAAAACTATAATTTAAAATTATTATATAATCTATAGTTATATATATATATACATATATACATATATATATATATATATATATATATATATATGT